GTATATGCAAAATTGTTGCTTTGAACGAACCCCTTAATTGCTGTCTCCATAGTCGTGAGCTTCTTTAATTATGAGTCGAGAAATTGGCCTTAATTAGCCATCTTGGGGCACAGTGCATCTGGACTTTCTGGGCTAATAAAAAACTGGAGACCTCTCGAGGGTTACTTGTTCGTTTTGGGATATTAAAATGTAAAATATGACTCTATATAGTATGCTGTGTTTAAATAAAACATTTTAACGGTTTAAAACCCGATATATACTAGTTAAACTTATTTTGGAGATTATTTTTAATAAAGAATCCGAAACGTCGGGCCGTAGTGAAAATAATCTCGAAATAAGTTTAACTAATATATTTCGCGTTTTAAACCGTTAAAGTGTTTTATTGAAATGTGTACTACTCGCGTAAAATACAGACAGTGTAATGCGACTTATAATGAAGATTTTGCTGTCCTCCGAAGTTGAAAGAGGTGCGGGGTTCGATTATCGGTACAAATACGCAATAATAACTTAATACAAGTGTCAAGTTTGAAATAATACTGCGGTACATTTATGAATATGACGATGCGATGTCGACCTTTTTAGGCTTTAGATTCTCGGAAATCCACAGATTATAACCGAAACGCAATTAACTTCACTCCACGGCTTTTTCATCTGTGGACAGTGGTTCGTGACCCGAACGGAATTACGATAGTCTTACCACCAATTTAACACCTAGATTTCCAAACGAAGTCCCAGAAAAATTATAAATTTATTTAAAAAATGTTGGGCCCTGTGGGGATCGAATCCACGACCCGTTGATTTAGCCACATTGCTACCATTACAAGTCCGTCGAGTATGCCTTTCAAGTCTTATCAAGTGGAATATACCTACACGTTTGATATTTCAAAACTAATATCGAGTTACTTCTAACAACGCTAAGTTAGCATTTTGCAGTTATGCCAGTCTGCCAAGTTGAGTAACTTACTTACAAAGTTGTAACTATGTGAAATGGAAATTTTAATTCCTAATTGGGTTGTTACCTAATAGTAGTTTTTAGAAGTATTTTAGGTATTCATTAGGCATTTTGATTTTATTCAAAGCTAACATTTTTACGTTTTATTTAAAAAGATAATTTTCTTGTAAGATGCATTATCTACACTAATATTATAAAGAGGAAAGGTTTGTATTTTTGTATGTAACGGATAAAATCATGAAGTACTAGACCGATTTTAATAATTCTTTTTTCACTAGAAAGCTACATTATAACTCAGTAACAAAGGCTATATTTAGTACAAGATGATTACAGAAATCTTTAGAAATTCCTAGTAAAACTGGAAAGTGTAAAAAAAAATTTGCCGTAAAATGTCTTTCATCGCATACACTGCGAAAAGTATTTAGTATTCAAAACTGTCTCAATACCTGATGATTACTTTTTTTAAATATCTGACATTCCATTCAAAAGATATCATGGAATTAAAATTCACATAACAGGAATTGTTTACAAGAATAAAGACCTCTATCATAGTTTTTAACTAAAAGGCGACCTTATCACTAAACAGCGATCTATTCCACGCAACCAGGTGTGAAAGGAAAACAAAAATTTAAGTACTTATAGTATTCAGCCCTATTAGGTTCATACATTCGTACTCGATAATCCGAATCGAAATTAGTCTTTGAGGGCATGTATGTTACATGCGAATAGTTTTAATTTAAAAAAACGGTTTAAAACGCGAAATATATTAGTGACCTTATTTTGGTTTATTATATATAAACTACCACCCTAGTTTTCGGATGGGGTTTGTCTCGTCTTGACCACATGCAGTTAAATACTGTTTCCGCGAGTAGTACACATTTAAATAAAACACTTTAAAGGTTTAAAACATGATATAATACTTAAACTTATTTAAAAATGATTTTTACTTTTCTTTGACGTGAGGGACACCCTCCATTTTAAGTCTCCCCGTGACCACGACTGCTGCAAAGTATCCGAAACGTCGGGCCGTAGTTATAATAATTTCCAAATAAGTTTAAACGATATATATCATGTTTTAAACGGTTAAAGTGTTTTATTTAAATAGAATTCAGCTGTTAAGCCACTTAACTAATTAATGTCAACGTCACTTGGAAATTGTATGACGAAGACGAAACATGGAATCAACATTAGGGTTTAAAGTAGAAAGTGATAAGTTGACTTTGATGTTAAAATAGCGAGAATTATTTATATTTATTTATTTGCTTAAAATCTTGTTGGGGCTTGGGAACATGGGGCAGGCACATCCCCGTGTCCCATTGATTGTCATTATTATTAACAAGCAAGTAGTCGATCACATTTCAGATTTTGAAAGCTATTTGACTTCCCGGGCATCGAACCGAGGACTTCTGTCGCTTAGAACCACTATGCCATAGCGGTAGCTAGGAAACGTAATACATACCAATAATTAAGTAAATATATTTGTGTTATAGTTATTGTCTGTTGTTTAGCTTAAAACTTCTTATGGTTTAAAACGTGAAATATACTAGATAATAATATTTTCACTACTGTCGTAGTTATTTTAAGTGTTAACCATAGTTAAATATTTTAAATTTTAAACTGTTAAAGCGTTTAATTTAAATATCATAACATACACAGCTGTAATAACTTATTGTTACATATATGTATTAGTTAACTTGTCAATTCATTTTAATAGACCCAACATTTCGGATGCTTTGCAGCAGCCGTGGTCTCGTGTTTCATAAGTTTAACTAACACATTTCACGTTTTAAACCGTTAAACGTGTTTTATTTAAATGTTTACTACTCGCGTAAACTATAGACAGTACTTAACGAGATTTGACATCAATTGAAGCACGTATAAATGAAGAGAAATTTCTTAATTCAAATAAAATAAACATTAACCCAAAAAGTGAGGTCTTATCAATTATTGTCACTAATTGATTTTTTATGTGAAAAGAAACAGGTGTTTAAGACGTCGTGGAGTTAAATCTGCAATTTGCGTAAGGTGAAATTAAAAGTGCTTTTATAACAGAAAGTTATCATATTTATTGATTATGTCACTTTTAATGGAGATACGAGTCACTTAAAGTTCCCAGCTAAACAACATCTGACACGATGTGCTGTTGGCCTATTTAAGTTTTGGATATTGAGACTTAAATCGAAACGCGAATACACTAGACGACTTTTTCAGTTGTGGTCCAGATAGAATTGCAATATTCTTACCACCAAATAAACACGTAGAATCCCCGACGAAGGCATGTTTAAAAAAGATCCAGTGGGAATCGAACCTTGACCGGTTGTTTATGAGCCATACATTGCTACCATTTGACCAACGAGTCTGTCAAAACCAAATAAACCGAACGCGAATTACGGCTTCCAAATTTGTTTGATTAGTAATGGGTCGCATCCGAATTATTCGCTACGGAACAATCTTTCTAATACAAATATTATTGTATAGCTAATACCGTCAATATCTTAAAACTCTTATCATTTCTAATCGTTAATGTTTAAACAAAAAAAACAAATAAGTTTTTGATTGTATACCGAATTGTTCAATAAGCTAGACGGTAGACATCTTTAATAATTTAAATAAAACACTTTAACGGTCTAAAACGCGATATGTTAGTTAAAATTATTTTTAACTTCAGCCCGACGTTTCGGCTGCTTTGCAGGATCCGTGGTCTCGTGGCTCATAAGTTTAACTAATACATTTCACGTTTTAAACAGTTAAAGTGTTTTATTTAAATGTGTACTACGCGCGTAAACTATAGACAGCATCTTTAAAAAAATATTTTACATAACTATATTAATTATAATTAGGTAAAAATGTTAATGTATGCACTTTTATTATTGTCATTAATTTGTGTAATTGTCAATTATACCATGCTGATAAATAAATCAATATGTAAGTACCAACTTTTCACGTTTAACTATATCACCCATACAATGTATCACACATAATCAGTTGATATCTTAATCGTAGAAACACTAGTATAGAAACAAATAAACAATATAACTTCGTGGTCTAATTCGTCACGAAGACTCAAATTGAAGAAATATTATTTATTTATGTAGAAGACGTTTAGATGACCTACCTACGTCTATCGTTAAATTTATTGTGTATAATCGAAATCTAAATTAGTTGGTAACATTAGTTTCCGCCCAGCATAGCACAAAATCGAGTAGACACAGAATTGTGACTGCGCTGTGCTCCACTCCGTAAAAACGGGATTTTACACACGCACTTAGTACATAAAAGGTTGTATTGCGCTGATATTACGAAATCACCTAAGTGCCAGTACTTATGTGTCATCTATCTATACTTTTATACTAATACATAAAGCTGAAGAGTTTGTTTGCTTCTTTGAACGCGCTTATTTCAGAAACTACTTGTGCCAGTTGAAATATTCTTTTTGAGTTGGGTAGAGCATTTATCGAAGGAAGCTTTAGGATCTATAAAACTCTACCTACGACCAATAGGATCGTAAAAAAACGGGTAAAGTTATTTATCTTAAAACTAAAAAAATGTCCGCAACAGTATACGTCTGTCTTTTAAAATTAACTCGTAAGAACGAAACGACGTCGTGGGTAACACCTATAATTATTAAAGTTTAATAACTATTCCACGCGGACAAAGTCGCGGTCACGGCTAGTCGAACATATCTATCGACGTGTTTTGTTTCTCATTCAATGTAATAAGCTTACGAGGCATTCGTTCTACATTCACCCCCCCTTCTTCGACCAACCGACTGCCTGTCATTACCTAACCGACTGCCTTGCGTTCCGCGCACATCACACGTGTGACAATCTTTAATTTTAAAACACGAGACTATATTAACGCGGGAAAAACGTGAAGTAGTAAAAATAGTACGCCCAACTCTGTTTACACTTGTGCATTCACTGTAGGTTATTCGAATTTCGAACGCGACTGTCGTTCTAGATTTATGCGCGCGATTCGATTTTTAATTCGTGTTCAATGTGTTGTGATGGCTTGTGATTCTGTGTTATAGTTACATAATGTATAGAAAATGTTGGCTGGTGAGGAGACCAGTATAGAAATAGTGCAGCGATGGTTACAAAGGCGCGGGAGCGACGAAGTGGAGACAGGTATTTGAAGAAAAGCGATTATAAATTTGCGACTTCAACCGGCAACAGCAACAACAGCATGGAACGCTGTGGATATTGGTTCAAGTCCTGTCCAAGTCCAAGATTTCTATAGTGCCATTGTGTGAATAATATTAAAGATTTCAAAGGTATTTGAATTTTGGGATCGTGTCGCGGTGTTTTGCACCTTGCTCTTCGATAACCAAATGCTCTCGTACTTGGTCAAGTACTCAGCACGATGAAAAGGTCGTTTTACGAATTGTATTTCAATATCTAATCGAGGACTCGACATTTAAGATCGTCACATGCATTTATGACTAGCGAACCTCAAACTAATACAATTCTAATATTATTATCATAATTCCTTGCCAATTAGCAACATTTTTGCAACAAATATTATAATAGGATATTTATTTGTACACAGGAAACAATAAACTAAACTTATATAGTAATACTAGCTAGACGTGGTCCGCGTTTTGTCGTTTTTGCAAGTAATATTAGAATATAGACATATAATGTGGCGGACATTTATTTAGACCATTTAAAGTGAAATAATATTTTCTTCATATTTGTTGGTTAGCTTGAACCATTTTCTCAGCGTACGCAATGGAAACCTACAAGGCTGAATAATTTTCTCCGTTTTTTCGACATCTCCCGCTGTTTCTTCGCTTCTATTAATCACAGCGCTATGTTTTATAGCCTTCCTCAATAAAAGCTCTAACCAACACTATAATTTTTCAATTCAAACCAGTAGTTCTTGAGATTAGCGATTGTTTGTTTGTATGTTTGCTTTCAAATATACAAACAAACTCTTCAGCTTTATACATATATTAGTATAGATTACTCGGACTTAATTCGTTCTCAGTCTCCATAATTTGAGAATAAATATTTACTTATATTATATTAATAGGAAAAAAAATTAAGCATGCGTTTCAAACGATGGTAGCTGAAATATCCCAGACAAATAACATCGACACAGAATGCGCTGCCGTCGGATTTTGGATATTCGAGAATTTTACAGACTAAAAACGCAACACAATTCTGTGGCTTTTTCAAATTCAATTCAATACTTTTATTTTGCTTTTTACTTACGCCCTTTACCATGGCAACGTTTATAATGTGAAACCCCGTTTCCCCCTCGTGGGGCATGGGGAGGACCCAATTCTGTATCCGTTTTACTGATTCATTCTTTTAACAGGCAAGTAGTTAATCCGACTTCTGTGCCCTGCCCGACCGAAACATTTTTTTTCCTAAGTTTCGAACCCAGAACCTTTCTCGCGTAACGCAATGCTAGGCAACACGTTTACCATTTGGCTACAGAAGCGGTCCGGTCAGGAACGTTCATTATAGCAACGCAATATTCATAGCTAATGTAGGTATTCGTTTTTTTTTAATTAAAACCTTTATCACTAGAACAATTGTAGATTGTTAGGGATTAATTCTAATAACTTTATCTATCAATGCGATAGTTTATGTTACCGTTTCAAAGAAATACAAAATTATTAATTGTAAGATTTTGATTAGAAATTTATAGCTCAATTCGTGAGGTATGTAACACGCACCGTTTCGTTTACCCACGTATACGATCTTTTTTTTGTAAAACGATACAGAATAAGAAGAACAAATCGAACGAAACCACATAAAAATCTTCGTGAGATCTTGAACACCCAAAATGTTATCGCTTTTTTAAAGCCCGTTTTTTTAACGTTGTGACCTGCTAATTGGTTTAATGGTTCTAGGTATGGGCAAGAACGAAAAGTCGTGAATTTGATTCCGCACATATATATTTGGTAACACTTTCTGATTTTTATGAACATGTTTCACTAACACGTGTTATAGAAAAGCCGTTGAATGTAATTTCGCGTGATTATAGATTTGCTTGATTAGATTAGATCTGCAGATTCAAATATAACTTTAACGCTTAATAAACGCGACATATTTAAGTTAAACTTGATTGAGAATTATTTTTAACTACGGCCGACGTTTCAGATGCTTTGCAGCAGCCGTGGTCACGGGGAGGTTAAAAATGGTGTCTCTAATTTTGGGTATCCAATTTAAAATATAATTTTTTACGGAATGAAATAAGGTAAAGTCACTAATGCCAGACACTTTAATGAAAACATTATGTTTAAATTAAAATAATGATATATTTATTAAACAAAACGATTCGAGATTTAAATACTGTCTATAGCTTTCGCGAGTAGTACACATTTAAATAAAACACTTTAACGGTTTAAAACGCGATATATTAGTTAAACTTATTTGGAAATGATTTTTAACTTCGGCCCGACCTTTCGGATGTTTTGCAGCAGCCGTCGCCCCGTGACCACGACGTGATCTAAGGATGCCCATTTTTGTCGGTCTTATGCTATGCAGCACCAGTCTATGCAGAACATTTTACCAGCGTGCCAAGGGATTTCCTCTTCTCCTTTTACCTGGAGGTCCCTTCCACTGGGTAACTCGTGCAGCACCTTGTATCAGACCTTCTCGTCACATGAGCAGCCCAACGCCATTTTAGTTTTTTAGCATAGGTCATTGCGACTGTGTGTATGTATGTGACTTTAGTGATGTCTCTTACTTTATCATTTTTCATGGTGTCAACATGCTTCGTGAAATAACATATTGAAGCAAAAACATACATCACATTGTCGCTTTCATAACATAACTTTGAGAACCGCATTATATCTTACAACATCAAACAATGCTTGACCACTTTATACGTCGATTATAATCTTAGCGAAACATTAAACAATCTTAAAAGTATCGTAATTAGCAATTACGATTAATGATCGATTAATGTTATAATTATGTCGAATGTTATATTCAATTATGTCCTTTATTTCGTAATGCAATATAATCGATATGAAACCGGGCACACGTTGCTCGTGATTTTTACGAGATCAAATTGCAAAAGTTTGTTTTGTAATAGCTATGTGCAACCGTTAGGGATGGGCCGGCGTTCGGTTCACATACGGCTTAACCGAATTTTGGTTTATCGCTATTATATCAGGATAGTTGATCTATAAAATTATGTTGTACTAAGTGACGACAAAATAATAGTGTAGGAATAATTTAAGGTAAACTAAAAGCTTTTCTTTTAGGCTTATATACAATATAATAATGTACAATCAATTATTTTTTCAATATCTACAGTTACTTATAATTGTATACTGAATACTTATTTAGTAGTTACAGTACTGAGTTTGAAGTAACTTTAAAGCAAGTATTTTTAAAAGTGGCTTCACTATTATAATTGAACTGAACAAACAGTATTTTTGTTTATAAAACAGACATGAACCGAAGTTATCTCTTATTTAAACCGAATGTTGCCCGAAGTTCGGCTTCGGTTTCTACATCATCATACCATCTCTAGTAACCATTGAGGGTCTGAACCAGTCTGGATGACCTCGGCGATCTAATAAACGCAACTAGCACCTGTTTTTAAACTCGAAATAGTTACACTTTTTTACACGACTGTACGATGGATAGGACCGTACATGGTGCGAACGTGTCGTTAATAAGGTGATAAATGATAGGCCAAAGAAAATATATCACTGCACAACTTGGATGCCTATTTTAGAAGTCGTTATATTGCTCCTTAGAGAAATACATGTGTCTCGAAGAATTTTAATGACTTACGATAGAACACTTGTAGTGTACCAACTGTGTATTTTTTATTCGACTTGGTCGTAGTCTTTACAAAAACCGTTAGGGTTCTATTATAAGGATAAAATAGAAGACGTTTAGTCGGAAATAAAACAACAAACATAATATCAGAAATTACAAATAAAATATACTAACTACATTTGAAATAGTAAAAAATTGCTAACAGAAATAGATTTTTTACAATTCGTGCACTTACGTTTCTTTATCAGTTTAACACATAGGGATTATATTTGCATTTCTTTAATTTTTCGTAAAGTTTTATAATTTCTTCGTTCGTTTTATAAATTCCTACCCACATTATATTCTATTTATATAAGAGAAAACTAAAAGTCATCACTTAAGTTAATTAACTTGAACCGGCCTCGTCAGCTTTCCGTGCTGTTGCTCTACCAATTGAGCTACCGAGTCTCTTCGTCATTCTTGATTTATTTAAACTAAGACTCGATAGTCGCGTTTCTAAAAAAAAGGTATGCGCGTGAGTCCAATGCGTAATTGGTCACTTATTTCGTTTCGTGAGTTCTTGATTGCCAACTAGGCTACAACTTGAAGATCGTAAAAATATAATAAACTAGCTGTGAGCGCGATTTCGTCCGCTAGAGACAGTTATTTTTGGCAACATATTTATTTTTGCAAAAAATCTCCTCAACTTTATAAATTCTGTTAACCACAGCGTACATATTTTTTTGTTTTCCTGAAGCATTTTCGTAGTGTATGCATCAGAAACTCATAAATACTAACTACTGAACTAAAATGAATAATTTCGCTCCAGTTTGTTCCACATTTCCTGCTGGTTCTTCGCTCCTATTAGTCACAGCGCGATGTTTTATAGGCTTCCTCGATTAATACTCTCACCAACACAAACATTATTTTTCAATTCAAACCATCAGTCCCTGAGATTAGCGCGTTCAAACAAACAAACTCTTCGGCTTATGATTAGTATAGATGTAGGCTACAGTGCCGGTTTTGTTTTATCGCGTTCGATTATCTCAACCGAGAATCAATGAGTTACGAAAGTGTGTCATCGCCATTGGGACGTGCAACTATTTTAATTAGTGGATGATTATTAATGACCTCAGTCTGATAAAACAGACGCTAACCTTCTGATTGAATTCGGACCGAAGCTTCGGATTCGGTTAATAGATCTTAGTGTATGTGTAAACCACAGTCCTATAATGGCAACGGCGGATCCCCCTGAGCTGGTTCCAGGCCTAAGATGAAACACTAATTGAACATATTCAGTTTTTGACGTATAGTACGTTTACGTATATGTGCATTAATAAAATACCTACTTTTTACTTATATCTACTGTCCTCAAAATTAACTACTCTATTAACTCTATAACCACGGCTCAAACGTTACGCGTAAAGCCGTTAAAAGTATTCTATTAAACTTTTGTAACAATCCATTCATAATTACATAATATCTAGCTGTGTCGGCGACTTTGTCCGCGTAGAATAGTTATTTTGGCGAACGAGGTTTGCAAAAGGTCATCTTCATAAATTTAAACTGTTACCCACGACATCGGTCGCCCGTCGTTCTTGCGAGTTAATCTTAAAATATTACATACAGTACTTCCTGAGATTAGCGCGTTCAAACACACAAACACTTCAGCTCTTTAGCGTGAGCGAGAACCTCTTTTCGCTCACGAAAGACAATGATATGCTGAAACTCTTCAGCTGTATATATATCATATATTAGTAGAGATAAAATTATTGTATTCTTTGTTTGCAGGCAGTTCGAGCGGATCACCTGGGGCGCGCGCTGGCCGCCGCTCCTCACTTGCACTCACTCCTGAAGATGAACCACTAGTCGATATCGCCGTAAGTGCTTTTACTGCATACCTAGTTGCATAGTGAACAGAAAGGTTATTGATACCTGAATGACTAAATAAAACAACTTTAAACCGGTTTAAATCTTTATATGTTTTAATTGTATGTCCTCGCGAATTTTGTAGTGTTTCGTATTCTAGAGTTATTATGGTCGATGGCGTGATCGAATTGTGTTAAAGACCAATTAACATAATTGCAGTGATAATTATAAATATGTTATGTTTTTAAATCTTTTATCAGTAGATTCTAATAGTTGGACTGGATCAAGTCGAAGAAGCTTTGCTATTGACTTACTTACATATCAGCAATATAAATTTGAAGTGAGGTTAATAAACAATCGCCTTGTTTTACAAGCGAACGATCTAGACATAGACACTGCCGATCCAAGTCGAAATATATCAGAAATAGTCACGAATGCTGCAAAGCAACCGAAACGTACGAGTACTAGTTAAAAACAATTGCACTAATATATATTTCGTTTTAAACCGTTTTATACTTGAGTGGCACAATAATTAGTTTTGCAAAAAAACTGATTTGTGAGGTAAGCATGAAAAGTTATAATCGAATAAAAAAATATTAAATTCATTTTGGAGTAAAACGGTTAAATTGTTGTTAATGATATAAAACCGAAAAAATGATAAAAACGCTTGGGGTGTGTAGGAACCGGCTCTTACAAGGAAAAATATGTCCACTACAAGTATATAACGAATGTAAAATGAAACTTGGTAAAAGGAGTGACGGCGAGTTTATTGCCAATTCTTCTCGTTCGTTCTACGCCCTTGATTTGAGAACTGGTAGTAAATGTAAAGTTAGATACTTTAATTTTGTGACGTTCATAAGTGTACATAGTTACCTACATGAATAAATGATTTTTGACTTTGACTTTGACCCCGTGTTTTTGAGGCTATCCAATATTAATTTCAGCGTGCTGAAAAATTCCAAAATCACGTTTTCACTTAAATCTACAAACCGCTACACTCAATATAAATAATCAATAATCAGTGCTATAATAATCTTTGATTAAATTAAAATAAAGTCGTCTTATCAGCATTTATCTATTTATCGGTATTATACCGCAATTATACATTCTTAGTCTCAATAAAACGTTTCGAGTAGTCACGCGCGGTGAGTGTAAAAAATGTGTTATAAAAAATAAAAGTGATTCAAAAAAGTATTCAATCAAACATCCGATACTTCGCAGTACTTCAATGATATAGTAAATAATAGTTTAGCGTTTAACGAAAGCGTTTTAATAGTAACTAACAAAGTACCTTCCGACCTCTTTAGTGCTAAGGTTCAAAATTGTCAAGTGAATAAATCGAATATGCTGATGTAACACCGCAATGGATCAGCAAAAAGTAAATGGTATTCTACGAGTAGACACAGTGAAGAAGATAGGTTGCTGGGCGAAATTCAAAAGCCTCTTCGACGATAGAGGCTTTGATTTAGAGTACGAATATAATAACGGTCACACTACAAATATACCGAGGGTCCAAACCGATGCGGAAGAGTACAGACGATTGGGAGACAGGAGTTCTATAAGTACAAACGAGAGTATAGTCAATATAGATGGGGAATTGAGCGGAGTGATTAACTTTTATGAGCAGTTCGCGGCTATTAGTGATGAAGTCAAAGAGGAGAGCGCTGAATTGTGGAGGCGGTCTCTTGCAAGACGAAGAGTGTCAACGAGACCCAGCGTGTTGTTGACTAACATACTCGAGGAGACCGCTGATAACGAAAGCGATAAGGTTGAAGTGGTAAGTCTCGAAATTGAAGTGTTCGCAAGATCTTGGATATAGTTAACATCATTACGCGGCATTTGCTTTGTCGTGTCGAAGTTTTGTGATAAACGCCGGATGAAGTAATAAGGGAGAACCATTCTTGTATTTGTGTACAGCCTTGTGAGAAGGATTTCAAAACATTTAACGTAATAAATAAACTTCTAACCGTTTTACAATAGTATTTATAATTTTTAAGTACTAATTAACGTTATTTGCTTTTAAAACATCATCGCCATTGTTACATGTAAATTTTAATCAGCGTTAATAACCCTCAACGTCAGCGTCTTAACCGCGTTATTCCATTATCTTGGAAATTGATACAGTTTACCGCAAAATTAAATTACTAGATGTAGTGAAAGAGCTCATTTTCGCCGATACGATTCGAAGAATGTGTTGAAATTTCGATCTAATTAAAAATTCACGATAGAAGTTAATACAAAATGTTTACCACACTATTTTTATACCAACCGTAGACTTGTGGTGTGATTGCTGACGTTCGTGTCTCGGGGATCAGTCAAAGATTTTTATCTATACTAGCTGTGTCCGCGAGTTCGTCCGCGTGGAATAGTGACTTGGGGTAGAATTTTCAATTATTGAGACTGTTTATTAATTTATGTAAGGGCGCATTTAAGGCAACCAATATTTGGTAAATGCTACTTCCTACACTCACCCCCACTATCACTCCCACTCCCACGCCCACGCCCACTCCCACTCCTATTCCCAAAAAGCTTTTTTTAAGTTTCATTGTTCCACGAATTTCCTTACAAACTTTCATCCCCTTTTTCAAACCGTATCAACAATTTTTTGGCATTAAAAAGTCTAAAGCCTATGTCCTTTCTCAGGCTGTAAAATTTCTGTGTACCAAATTTCATTTAAATCAGTTCAGTAGTTTCGGAGTTAAAGCCGGACAGACAGAGTTACGCATTTATAATACTAGTATCTATAAAAAAAATGAATTTATTAATAATTAGCAATCCGGCTTTGATCGGGTGCAACGCTGATCTAAAGACACTACAGAAAAACCGTGAACGTTGTATATCAAAACCTTCCTCTTGAATCACTCTATCTATTAAAAAACGCCATTAAAATCCGTTGCGTAGTTTTCAAGATTTAAGCGCACATAGAGACAGAAAAAGCGACTTTGTTTTATATATAAAGAAGTATGTATGTGTGATATATAAAGAATTGAAGTACTTATAACTGTGTTCTAAGGATGTATCGTGTAATGAAGTGTGCCGGCAAAATACCACGTGGTATGTGTCAACACGTGACGTCATATGTCATATGGTCCGTAGCGATCGATTGACGTCTCAAACTGTGATCGGCGCTTCCGTTTAAGTACATTTTATTTCTTTATTTAAGACTAGCTATGCCCGCAACTTTGTTCGCGTCAAATGACTTGGGGTAGAATTTTTATTAATTTATGTAAAATGCGCTGGCTAAGATAAATGCGCAATGCATTCATCTCAGCCAATCTATGTTGTAAGTGCTACTTTGCCGCATCACTCACATCACTCCTACTCTAACTCCCACTCTCACTCTCACTCCTATTCCCAAAAAGCCAAAGAATAAAGCTCCATTGTTCTAGCTTTAAAAAACACGAATTTCCATACAAACTTTCACCCCCCTTTTAACCCCTAATATAGAAAGTTAAAATAGGTCGACCGCGCATTTTGTTGAGATATTATATGAGTGCGTATTTCAACTTCCATTAAGTAACTTAGGCTTCTATCCTCCGTTATCATAAAAGTGTGTAATATTATATTTTTAAAATTATTAAAAGTGTATTTTAATAACTTTATTTAGTACGTTAAATTTCCTTTTTTCGTCGTATGAATATGTGATATCGATATTTCGCGGCAAAATCCAATTTTGCACCAAAGCATCGGCGGAAAGTCCATTATATTTTCGTGGAAAAGAGCGCGTTGCATTTCTCTCGGTGCGAGTATAACAAAGGATAGTTTCCATTATCTCCGACCTTGAATCCCTTTTACCGGGTCGGGGTCAAATCTCATCAAAGGTTTGGCCCGCGGCGAGCACTATATAGAAAGAAAGAAAAATGTATTTACTACTAAGGCACACAAAAGCACATGTTACACTTATTACTAAAACATAAAAAAAAAACAAAACATAATTTTATCTTAACAGTATAACTTAATATAACGAGATAGGTAATAGATATATATAATAGGTATAGATAATATGCTAGTAGAATATTTACTCAGTTAATATCAGGCCCTTTGTGGACCTGAAACTGATTTTCAGTAAGTATATCAAATACTGAAGTCAAATTGAATTCTTTTCGTGGTTGAGAAATACTGAAGTAAATAGTACACAAGAACTTAAACAAAAAAAATGGAAAAATGATCCGTGCGTACCGTTGCACGGTACACTGATGGTAAAATAAATCAAAAACTGTTAGATAAGCACAAAGTAGTCTATAGACTTGAAAAAATATTTTTGTGTTGGATAGACGAGGAACATTATGTGACTAATAAGAAAGAAAAATTACATCTTATTTTAAGATAACTATTAGTTTCTTTGATGGCGTTCGTTGCGTGCGCTGAAAAAACGGTTTAAGAAAACAGTTTAAAACGCTAAGTATGTACTTTAATTAATTATTAAATAAGATTTCATAACCACAACTTCTGTATAACATTATTATTGCGAATAGTACTTAAAATAAAAATATAATATGCGATTTGAACCGATGAAGTGTTTTATTTAATCTATCAAATAATCCGATATATTTTACGCGTGCCGGAAAACACTCGACAGGTTGCTTTAATGATAATGCGTACTACGTCACGCAATCAGCTGATAATTTTACTAATCAAAGTTGTGTTGTCCTTTTGATGCGATGGTAAATTAGAACAAATAATTTCAGATTTTTTGAATAAAACCGGTTGCGAGGTTACACGAAAGGTTCCGTACGTATTTACTAAAAAATTACTTAAGATTCTTAAAGTTATTTCAAGTGCCTATCTATACCATAAAAATGGTGTTTTATAATCTTATTTTATTCATAGTATTTGTTGTCATGGCAACAGAAACACGATAATTGCGAATTCGCTTTTTGATGTCTCCTCCTGGTGACAGATAGCAAAGAATAGAATTAAATATATTTTAAAATTGATAATTCAATACGTTATTTTTATGTTGAATTAACTATGAGCGAAGTGTCAATTTTAAATTTCCAATTGCATTAATATGGCTTTTAAAATTAATAATTGGACATTCTGTGATAAATTAAGCTTAATCTGTAATACATAATTTTTAACTCAACGATTTTTTATATAGTAATATTTTTAAAGCTCTCATTAATTTAACCGACTTATTAAAGTAATAATTGCCAAGTTTGTATTGTTAAGGGTTGTTTTAACTTGGTAAATACAACTAACTGAACTTAACAGTTGCTGTAGTGTTATTTTTAAAACTCTAATTAATTTAATCGTCTTATGATATTAATGATTGTTCGTTTCTATGATAAATTAAGCTAAGCCTGTGTTGGCAAGGGTTGTTTGGTCCCAACGAGTATTAATATTCATCGTGCCGTTTTAACTTTATTGACTTTCCTTATACAAATAGAAAAGCAATTAATAAGTAAAAAAATATTTGTTGGACAATGTTTTTGGTATAAATTAGAAGGAAACTAATATTTTTCACACGATATTGCACACAATATAAATTAAAAATCGATTATAAAATAGGACTTGGTGGCTCAAGTGGTTAGAACACGCAGCGCTGACGATACCGATTCAAGTCCTGCCCGAGTCGTAAATTTTAAGATTTATGTTAAACGATACGATATCCGTAGTTTAAGCGAGTAGTTGCATTTAAATAAAACACTTTTAACGGTTTGAAACTCGAAATATACTAGTCAACTTATTTTTATCTACATACTGACGTTTCGAACACTTTACAGCAACCATGTCCCGGGGGGACGTCAAAATAAATTGACGATAAGATAACTAATATATTTCGCGTTATAAACCGTTAAGAATGTATTATTTGACAATAACGACATTGCAGGATTCGAACACACGACAACAGATTTAGTGTTCCAGCAATTGAACACACGATTATCCACATGGATAAATAAAGCCTCTTTTGCTTGCTCAAATCGACTACACTTTCTTGCGTTTTATTTGATATCGGAATTCGACTTGCGCCTGCGCAAATGTAACCAGTTTTTTCGCTAACCACGTAAATCCATTAGTAGTTTCACTATCTTTAACCTTATCACGGTTTAGAATACATTTTATACTAACCTATAATTATTTTAGTGATCAATCAAACACATCTGTAATTAGAAAGTTACCTTACGAAGGTCGAAAGAATAGAACATCAAAGTAAGATTCTTTAATTATTTTGTGACGTTCATAAGTGTACATTATGTTACCTACATGAATAAATGACTTTTGACTTTGACATCAATACTCATAGAAAGCTGAAGAGCTAGTTTGTATGAACGCGCTTATCTCAGGAACTACTAATTCGAATCGAAGGAAGGCATGAGCTATAAAACTTCGCGCAGTGACCGATAGGAGCTAAAAATCACTGGGAAATGTGAAAGAAAAGGGGGAAATCATGGATCTTTAAGAATGTCTGTTGTATGTGCTGCGAATACTGTTCAAGATGCAAAAAATACGTATGGAAGAATTGACAGGAGAAATATAAAACGTTTATTTTAAGGAACTTTAGGTGGTATAAAGTATCAAAGTAAATACGTTTAACATTAAATACTGTCTGTAGTTTTCGCATGTACACATTCAAACAAATCACTTAACGGCATACAACGCATACACGGTACATATATATAACAGCTGTATATATTAATACTATGTAGTAGTGATTTATTTAAACTTTTAACGTTTCAAAACGTGAAATATAGTAACTTATTTGCAACTTATTTTAACTACGGCCCGGCGCGTCGGATTCATGTACCTAGCAGCGTGGTCACGGTGGTTTTTGCG